CAAGACAGTGTGTGACTGCAATAAAGAAGGCCAATGCTATGCTGGGGATTATTAGGAAGGGTATTGAAAACAGATCAGCCAATATCATAATGCCCCTATAGAAATCAATGGTGCGACCTCATTTGGAATACTGTGTGCAGTTCTGGTCACCACATCTTAAAAAGGATATTATAGCTTTGGAAAAAGTGCAGAAAAGGGCAACTCGAATGATAAAAGGGTTGGAACACTTTCCCTATGAGGAAAGGTTAAAGCGCTTAGGGCTTTTTAGCTTGGAGAAACGACGACTGAGGGGTGACATGATTGAGGTTTATAAGATTATGCATGGGAAAGAGCAGGTAGAGAAAGAGGTACTTTTCTCCCTTTCTCACAATACAAGAACTCATGGGCACTCCATGAAATTGCTGAGGCGTCGGGTTAGAAGGGATAAAAGGAAATACTTCTTTACCCAAAGAGTGATTAACACATGGAATTCACTGCCACAGGAAGTGGTGGCGGCTACAAGCATGGGACGGCTTCAAAAGGGAATTAGATAAGCATATGGAGCAGAGGTCCATCAGTGGCTATTAGCCACAAGGTATAGATAGGGACTCTGGGGCAAGTGATGCTCTGTCTTCTTGGTGCTTGGGGGGGTCAACAGTGGGAGGGCTTCTAATGTCCTGGCCCCACTGGTGGACCTCCTGATGGCACCTGGTATTTTTGGCCACTGTGTGATACAGAGTGTTGGACTAGATGGGCCTTTGGCCTGATCCAACATTGGCGTCTCTTACGTTCTTATGTTCTTATTGAAGTTAATCTTGTCCTCAAGCCAAAGTATCACGTTTTCATTTAATTCCATAGTGTGTATCATGGACCAGCATGAACACTGCACGGGAGTGAGATAAGACCACAAAAAATGCATAATATGAGTTAAAATTCAACCTATCTGTCAGATACCTTCCCCTTTCTCTTTCAGAATCCCCCAGAATGTAGCTTTTGGCTATCTATGCTCATCAGGGATTTGCTAAGTAAACCAGAGAGTAGTCATCAGAATGGTTCAAAAATCAAAACTTTACACTAGAACTCTTTTGACCAGCTGCCCCAAAGCTATGGTTAGCAGGCCAGGGTATGCATATTTTAAATAAACAAATGAAAGTTTGATCAGAAATAGGGATGCCAGTCGCCGGCTGGGGGCGGGGGAAGCACAGTCCCTAAGCCCCACCTCCAGCAGCAACCACAAGCAGCCCCCCTCTCCTGGGCCCTCCAGGAGCACGTGGCTTGCTGACCAGCTGGAGGGCCCTTTAAATCTTGCAGGAGGGGATGGAGAGGGGCAGCTGCTGGCTGCACATCTGAACTCCAAGAGTCGAATTTGCCGCTTGGAGTTCAGAAATGCCCCCACCTCGCTTCTTACCCAAAGAACAGGCCCCTTTAAATGCTTTGGGCAAGAAGCGCCAGGGACTAAAAAGGACCTGGCAACCCTAATTGGAAAATAGATGTTGACAGAAAGATCCCTTGAAGCAAATCAGGTATTTTGAGTTCCAATCTTATCTTCTCAAAAAAAGGGGAGGGGGAGGACTTCTGACAAGATTGTCCGTCTCTTATACAGTCACAAGTCTTTCTTGTCTCAGGCTGTGAGATTCACAATGATGACAAATCAAGAAAATGACATTCCCTCAAAGGTTTTCCTTTGTTTTCTGTTCAAACCACTGAGCTATTCTAAATGCAAGCCGTCATAGCTTTTCTTTCTGCTCATTCCTGCCTGTAGAAATCCTGCTATCGTAAAAAAAAATTAAATTCTGCATTATGGCTTTGTCAGCTTTTGGGATAATAATTTGAAGTGCAGTTTGTGCTCATGATGACAGACAACCAGCTGGCATAAAAATGCATGGGAGCTACTGCTGTTTAAAAATGATAGTAATCGCTTCAGTTGTTCAGAGGATTAAGACCAGTTTTGTGAATTTCTTTTTAAAAATTCCCTCTTGCATGCAGTGTATTAAAAAGAAAACATTGCTTACCGGAGGGTCCTGATCCTCAGCTGAAACTTTTGTGATAACAGTGCCCTTGATTGCATCAGGAGCGACCATTCCCCTGTACAGGGGTTTGCTAAATACTGGGGAGTAATCATTCATATCCTGCAAAACACAATTAAGAATTTACCCCCAAAGCAGAAATGCAATTATGGATATATCAACAAACAATTGTTCTATCAAAGTAGGCCCTGCTCAGTCTCTTCACATTAGAGGATCCATTTACTACTGTCAGGTCTTCTGGGTTCTCAGTTTGGATATTATCAAGACAGAAGACTGGCACTCAAGAATTAAATGTCAAGTTTTCAGTCCACTGTCTGTTGACATGTAAGAATGGTAGAATGTAGATCAGTTTTAATGCAACAATTTTTCACTCAGAGTGAGGTTCTCAAGACTGCACAGATTCCCATGGACTTTGCTCCTCAGGTAGCATCCCAAATTGTGGCTTTTTAATTGGTTAAGCCAGATGATCCTCTTCAAGTCTTGGTAAGGAGTACTACATAAATTGCAAAACAAGTAATGTGATTATGGCACTGTCTCATTGCAAACTGATTTCCTGGATACCTTAGCTATTGAGTTTTTCATAGCAAAACATATGAGACAAAGAGACATTTATATAGTGTGGCATTAAGCTTGCCTAGCCTCCCACTATGGCAGGAGGCCTTCCACCAGCCCCCTGTTGACAACCACCACTCTGAGTTTGTGAAGAGAAAAGTAAAATAAAAAATGCTGCTGTCACTGATGTTGCTATGCAATTTCCAGGTAAAACCTAGAAGTGACATAGGTTAGCTCTAGGAATCACTAGAAACTCTATGGTATAACCATAGAGTTTCTGAAAACTTCTAGAGCTACCCTTTGTCACTTCTGGATTTTACCTGGAAGCAGGCCCATAGCCACAGTGGGGCTCCCGGGGAAAGATGCCCCACCCAAAATCTGCCCCTCCCCTCCTGCCCTGAGTCTACCCTCAGCCTGATCCTCCCTCAGCTGGGAGTCCTCAGCCAGGAATGGCTGCTGGTGTGCACACTACAGCAATAGCCAAGGAGAATGGCCCACCCCGGCGCCTTACTGTGTGTGTGCCAGCAGCGAGCTTCCCCCTCGTTGTCTCGCAGCCTCATGTGACCGGGGATGGCTGGCACAGGCACAGTGAAGTGCTGGGGTGGGCGATTCTCCTTGGCTCTTGCTGCACCAAGTCCGGCAGGCCTGAAGGCCGAAGAACCAGGTCAGGCTGGGAGTTCTCAGCCAGGAATGGCTGCTGGGGTACGTGGCAAGAGCCATGTCTGGCCTTTCAGGGCTGAGAGCACTGGGGCTGGGTGGGTTTTGGCCACAGTGCGCGGGGAAGGAGACAGCACTACAAGCACCTGCCTGCCCTTCCCTCCCTTCATCGCTGTCACTTCCTCCTCCTTCTGCCCGCTGCCAGTGGTGAAAGAGCATCCCAGGAGGGAAGATGGGCTTTGTTTTGGGAGGGGGGTCTGCTTGGCACTTTGGGCTGCCTTCTTACTCCTTATTTGATTAATTTTTATTTGATTTATTTTTGTTTTATAATTTTTGTGACATCAGAAGTGATGTCGTCCCCTGCCCCCAGTGCCCTTCCTGAAAATTTTCTGGCTATGGACCTGACTGGAAGTGATGCATCACTGTCAGCAACATTGCCAAAGTCACCCCCTCATCACCCCATCAATTAATTGCCAGGCCTGGCAACCCTATGTGGCATTTAAAGGGGGGGAAACACATTGCTCCTAATAATTAAATTTCTGACAGGGGCCTACCTACCTGAGGGACCGCCTTTCCCCACATGTTCCCCAGAGAGCAGTGCAGTCAGGATCCCAAAACCGTCTGGCCCTTCTGGGCCCTAAAGACATCAGGCTGGCATCAAGTCGGGCCAGGGCCTTTTCAGTAGCAGCTCCGTGCTGGCAGAATGAGCTCCTGGGAAATCTTAGGGCCCTGCGGGACCTTTTACAGTTCCACAGGGCCTGCAAGGCAGAGCTCTTCCACCAGGCCTTTAATTAAGGAGCCACACCCAACAAACCAAGGCCCTGGGCCCAATACCATCACCGACAGCCTGAGTTCCGCTGACACTAAAATCTAATACCAACTGCATTTACCAGTGTGTTGATGCTACTCTGGCCTTTGCCATTGTTACTTATATTGTTACCAGCACCTTATGTTGTTGTTTTAAGATTCGAAGTTTTTATTATGTTGTTGTTTTTAGCTATTGCATATATGTAAGCCGCCCTGAGCCTGCCTTGGCGGGGAGGGCGGGGTATAAATTGAATAAAATTAATAAATAAATGTACTGGTTATAACTTGAATCTCAAGATGGGCACAATTTATATTTATAAAATAGCAGCTTCCCTGTTCTGCTTCTTTAAATGTGTTTGTGCATGGAGAAGATTCTGATATAGCAAAGGGGAGCTGCCATCACAAAACCCACACACAAATCCCTACTATGTATGAGTGATCCCATATACGTAAATAACCAAACTCACTGAACTGAGATCAATATTTTCAGGTTCAGATAATTTCAAATACCAGCAAATCTTTTTATTCCACTACATAGCAATATAAATCATACTCTTTGGAAGCAAACAAATGAATAACCTTGTAGTAGTTCTAGAGATCATAACTCATTGTGTGCAACTAAAAGATTCAAATGTAGATAATTAGAAAATGCAAGCAAAAAAGGTTATCTAAATTAATAGAGATTCCTGCTTTGTTAAATAAAGAGATCTATATTAAAGGCCTATTTTATATCATTCTTTTAATTGGTAGGAATAAAATTGTGTGGACTCTAGGAAGAGGTATATTATCGTTTTCAAAGATGTGACAGGTAACTTTGATTTTTGGAACTCATACAAAATTAGTTTAAAGTCTGTGGGGTAACAAAATAAGTCTAGAAGGCATTAAGTATTTTGTGGCAATTGTGACCAATAAAATCCATTAGCATCAAAATGCTGCCTTCTTTTGAAAGAAATTCTGATAGGAGCTATGAGCTATATTCAAACAATCATTTGTGGTTTGTATAATCCCCAGTTTGTTGCACAAATCTGATTAGTGTACCAGACATAGATAGCACATTGCAGCTTGTTCCAAGTGCTCACCCAGAAACATTTTTGGTGCGCGGGGGTGTGTGTCTATTAAATATAACTACAACTTACTAGCCTGTTTCTCTGCAGGGTTTATACAACTGAGCCCCAGACAATAGTATTGAGTTCTATAAGGCAGACAGCCAGCTAATAAATGCTACAAATTAATAAAATACAAGTGGGGACCCGCAAGAAACTTGCAGGGTGGTTAATCCATTTGTTTCCTCCCCTCTCTCCCTACCTCTCTCATATTCTTTCTCCCTTCTGTCCCCCTTTCTTACATCCTTTCTCTTTCTGCCCCCTCATCATTCTCTTCAGTTTTCTGCCTCCCTACCTCGTCACTTTTTCTCTCTCTTTCTGCCCCACCCCACCATTCTCTTTCTGTGCCCATCACTCTCCCAGCCTCCTGTCTGCCTCCTCCACCACCCTGCACAGCAGCAGCAGCAGTGGTGGTGGTGCTCCCAGCCACCCACCTGCTTCCTTTCCCCCCAGAGCAGCAGTGGCAACTCTTTGGGAATCACAATGGATCTCCCAGATACAGAGATCAATTCACCTTAGGGCTGTCAGCTCCAGGTTGGGAAATTCCTGGAGATTTGGGGTTGGAGCCTTGGGACAAGTGAGGCTTGGGGAGGGAAGGAGCCTCAGGAGGGTGTAATGCCATAGATTCCACCCTCCAAAGTAGCCATTTTATCCAGGAGAACTGATTGCTGTCACCTGGACAGCAGTTGTACTTTTGGGTGATCTCCAGCTCTCACCTGGAGGCTGACAATGGTAGTTCTCCTGGAGGAAATGGCTGGTTTGGAGGGTGGAGTCTACAACATTATACCAATCTGGAGTTCCTCTCCTCCTCAAATCCCACCCTCCCCAGGCTCCGCCCCTGAAATAACCAGAAATTTCCCAACCTGGAGTTGGAAACCCTATTTCCTTCCCACCCAACAGCCAAGTTACCTTTATCTGCCTCTCTGTCTTCAGCTTTCCATCTTCTCCACACAGCTTCTACCTAGGAAAATTACAGTCTTTCTCCACAGTGGGGACCAAGGCTGGTTACATTATTCTTTCCTCCTTTTTATCTGCACAACAACCCTGTGAGGTTGGTTAGGCTGAAAGTATGTGACTGGTCCAAAATCACCCAGTCAGCTTCCACAGCAAGATGGGGATGTGAACCTGGGTCTGCAGACCCTACTTTGAAGCTCTAACTGCTGCACCACACTGGCTTTCATAGGGTGGCTGCTGATGAACAGTAGATAACAGCCAGGCTGAGTTGAGTCATGCAAATCAGGTGTTATCAAGTCACCCAGAGGGTGCTGCCAGGCCTAGGGTAGTCAACCTCCAGATGGAACCTGGAGATTCCCCAGAATTACAACTGAACTCTAGACAGCAGAGATCTTTCCCCCTGGATAAAATGGCTGCTTTGGAGGCTGAACTCTGTGGCATTATATCCAGTTGAGGCCTCTACCTTCCCCAAACCTTTAATGTTTGTAAGCCGCCTTGAGCCAGTTCCCTGGCAAGGCGGGATATAAATTGAAAATAATAAATAAACGAATAAACCCAGCCCTCCTTAGACTCTACCACAAAATCTCTAGGAATTTCCCAGCCCGGCACTTGCAACCCTTATCAGCCCTGGCCTTAAGGATCCCTCCCTGAAAGTCCAAAATAGGCCTGGAAAGGCCCTTCCCCTGCCTTTTACTGACAGAACCAGTTAGACGCCCTCCCCCCCCCCGAGAAAGTTTTAAGAGGAAAATGGAGCCAGCAGCAAAAAATATAGGGGTGAGAAGCTCAGGTTTCTTTTAAAATGTCCTTCTGCTATTTAGCCATTCATACTGCGGGTGGAATCCTCCCCAATCTCAGCTCCAGTTCTGCTTTTGCTTCCTCCCCCCCCCCGCTCTGGCCATCAGTCAGTCTGTCTCTCACTTTCGATGTGGTGGGGACTGGAGAAGACTACTGCAACAGCCATTTGAAAAGGCATGGGGGGGATTCAACCCTCCCAGAGTTTTTTTAACTTTTTGGATTTTTCTGCAGACC